TCAGCCTCTTTCTATTGTAGAAAATGTCGGTTTTCTAGAATATAGTCGAAATTTGAATCCTCTGTATAGAGTCCCCAGTAGGAATATTTTAACAGAGAAGCTTCTAAAAGAACAATATATGCAAGAATTATCAAAATTAAAATCTATGTTGCAGAAAGTGAAACATATTTCTCTGACAACAGATATTTGGCAGAATGACAGTAACGTGTCGTATATATCTCTAACCGCTCATTTTGTGCATGAGAACATCTTGCATTCGAGGGTACTAAGTGTGAAAGCACTTACGTCGGAACATCACACGGGAAAAAATATTGCTACAGATATAATGAATATTTTGAAAGAATATGCAATTGAAGAAAATCAGGTTGTAGCAATAGTTACGGACAACGGTGCAAACATAAAGAACGCTGTTACGGAGCATTTACGTAGACCATACCATCCCTGTGTGGCTCACACATTAAATTTAATAACCAAGGAGGCTCTTAATGAAAATGATTGTCTCAAACAATTAATTTCAAAATGTAAAACTTTAGTTAGTTATTTCAAGCATAGCGGCATGGCTACAAATAAACTAAACAAATCCCAAGAAGACATAGGAGAAGCTCCCCTTAAAATAAAACAAGCTGTAGATACACGATGGAACTCCATATTATTGATGTTAGAAAGACTTCTAGAAGTCAAAAACGCTTTATCTGTAGCGATTACTAATTTACCCACTGCCCCTGAATTTATTGAAGCTTCAGAGTGGAGCATTATTTCTGATTGTGTACCAATTCTAAAACCATTAGAACTAATGACAACAGAATTATCAGGCGAAAAGTACCTAACCATATCGTCTGTAATTCCTTTAGTTAGAGGGCTACAATTTACATTGAAAAATATGAAACCAGAAACTGAAGTAGGCGTATGGTTGAGATCTAAATTGTTGATACAGTTTCAAGACGTCTGGGAATGCTTGAATCCAATAAAACTGTAGCTAAAAGCACTTTTCTTGACCCACGTTATAAAAAAATGCATTGGGCCTTGAAGAAAATGCTAGAATTTGTCAGACTTGGATAATGGATGAACTTGCAGCTATGTTAGGGACAGAATCCAATTCTGCTAGTATCGAGCCAGACATCCGACAGCTCAATGAACTTCATGAAAAAAGTATATCATTATGGACACATTTTGATACAAAATTAAAGCAGATTAAAACAAGTACAACGCCAGCAACGACATCAACTCTTTGTCTTAGACAATACCTTGAACTACCGCATGTCGACCGCACATGTAATCCTCTGGAATTTTGGTCAAAACATGAATTAGCTATGCCTGAACTGTATTCATTACATCAAAAATATGCCTGTGTACCGGCAACTTCTGTGCCAAGCGAAAGACTATTTTCGAAAGCTGGGCAGTTGGCAAATCTCAGACGAAATAGGCTCTCATCAAAGCATGTTGATATGATTTTATTTTTAAACAGTTGCTTTTAGAGATTTGTGATACCCCTCTTAATATTCTGGGATTATTATACCATTTAAAATATTTGTTTTATAAAGTTCGTATTTGTTTGAGTTCCTGTTTACTTATATGTTTAGATTTAGTGCCTATTAATTGTATATATTTCTAGGATTCTTTTTATGTTTATTCTTTGAAGAGTTCCAGTTTTATTTTATGTTTGCCATTTTTAATCCTCATTTATTAATAAAATTAACTGCTTATTATTAAACATACCTAATATGTTTCTGATTATATACCATTTAAAATATTTGTTTTTCTTATAAAGTTCCTATTTGTTTGAGTTCCTGTTTACTTATACTTATATATTTAGATTTAGTATCTATTAAATGCATATTTTAGGATTTTTTTTATGTTTATTCTTTGAAGAGTTCCTGTTTTATTTTATATTTTTGCCATTTTTAATCCTCATTTATTAATAAAATTAACTGCTTATTATTAAACATACCTAATATGTTTCTGATTATATACCATTTAAAATATTTGTTTTTCTTATAAAGTTCCTATTTGTTTGAGTTCCTGTTTACTTATACTTATATATTTAGATTTAGTATCTATTAAATGCATATTTTAGGATTTTTTTTATGTTTATTCTTTGAAGAGTTCCTGTTTTATTTTATATTTTTGCCATTTTTGATCCTGATTTATTAATAAAACTGATTGTTCTTTGTTTCATTCCGCTTTTAAAAATTGAAGATATAGTTTTTTCATTTAATATTAATTGCAGAAAATAAGAAAACATTAACTGTAACTAGGCGACCTGACCTAAATACCTAAAATCTGCGCCACCACTGGCGATTAACGTCTGCGTGCAGTGTGCGCTGCATGTTGCATACTTATACGGATGAAAATGAGAACTCCTATTAAAAATCATACGTATCATTATTCTTCCATGGAAGTTTCTTCCGGGCTTCTAATCTAACTTTCCGTTGTATGTTGTTGCCTAGTTAATTTCATTGCAAAAAACGAAGAACGCAAATCACACACATTCCGTATTTAAAATAATACGTAATACATTGATTTTCGGCATATTACGGAATAAATGAATATTCGGATTGTACCGTTATTTTAATCCGTATTCCTACATCACTACTCGGGGTATCGCCGGCAGTTGCTGTTCATATTCGGTGCATACCTAGCGTGTGCTTATACGTTAGCATGTCGTCTACGGATACAGCAGGTGAAACTGAGAATACAGGGTGTAAACGTTATGATAGTCATTATTTAAATGGGTGATAGCGGGGGGTTAAAAGAAGCAAAAAGTTTCATACAACATGGGGGTCAAAACGGCACTTTTTCAGAGAAACGACTTGAAAAATAAAATCTGACAACGCCGCAATGCCAGACACAAATTACGACGGAGCGCAGTGTAAATAAAGATGGAGTTTGTTATTTTTGGCTCTTAGGTATTATTTCATTATTTGATAATGTACTCGTAAAATGCAAACAATTAAAATCAACGGACTTACCACTAACTGTCGCAGCGCTTCACCTGGTGTGTGAAAGTTTATTGACGTATTAAAAAAATCTACTTATAGATAGGGAACACAATTTTGATACATGCATTCTTTTTCTTTTTGAAACCCACACTGCACCTTTTTTTGTATTGAAAGAAGGTGTCAAATGTCCTCCACTTTCCACACAAGCTTCATAACGACGAACACAGTTTCTTCTTACTCTAGGTCCTTGAAGTTGTTATTTATTGTTTCAGCCGCATTAAAAATTGTTTCGCGAAGATGTGCTTCAGTGGCTATTGGACCAGCCCCATAAACCATCGCTTTAAATTCTCCCCGATATCAGAAATCCATCGGATTGAGGTCAGGAGATCTTGCTGGCCATTTTCGAGGATCAGGAGCATTTCGACCGATCCAGCGATTTGGATAATGTTCATTCAAATACTGAATGACGCCTCTAAAAATGTGTGGTGGTGCCCCGTCATGATGAAACCACAAATTCTGTCTCCGTTGTAATGCCATGTTGTCTAAGGTCTGTTCCAAAAGTTCTGGTAGGTTATTGGCTAGAAAGCTAAGATATCCTTAACCTGACAACTTTGGGGGTAACTCGAAAGGGCCAATTACCCGACCGTCAAGAATAACCACCCAAATATTTATTTTAAAACGTTGTTAGAAATGACCTTCACGAATGGTATGAGGATTTTCTTGGGTCTACGTGTGAGTATTATGGAAATTTAATATCCCGTCTCGCGTAAAAGCACATTCGTCCGTCGCTAGAGTGTTTTTAAAAAAATCCGAATTTTCAATATTTTTGTGCAAAAACCACTGACAGAATGTTAGTCTGCGAGGATAGTCTTCTGCTAAAAGGCCTCCACTCGTTGTACATGGTAGGGATAAAGCAAATTTTCCCGATTCTATGGACTATGGTATGCGATAGTCCTACGCGGCGGTCTAATACTAATGCTGACATCTGCATTGATTTCTACGATATTTAAATTTTTTTCCTCCTGCTCTATAGTAAGCCGTCTTTCACGAGTGCGAATATTAGTGGGCTGAACACTTCCTGTATCTCGAAGTCTTTCGTACACTTACACTTCTGTCTGGGTGTACCCGTTGGCGAAATCTGTCGCGGTAAATTTGAGCTGCAAGATTTGAATTCTCACGAGCTTCACCGTAAACTAACAACATGTCGGCGAACTCTTAATTCGAGAACATTGTAAATAAACACGACGACGTACGCGAACAAAAACAAAACAACACGCCCGATGCTCTGCTCGACAAAACGATAAAGTAAATTTGTCTATGCAAAACTATAACTAACCACTGTTACCGTTTGCCATCGATTGCCGGTTCGATAAGGGTGATGAAAGGCCGACGCACTGTTGTCATGTGTGTTTTGAATATTTAATTTAATGAAACTTACTTACTTACTTATACAAAGTTTGGCTTAACTTAGAAAAACTTAATGCCATTTATTTGTTAATTAATTTAAAGACGTGTTAGATTAGATTATAGAAATTAGTAAGGTTGTGGTGATTGTGGTCGATATAAAACACTCAATGTTGTTAACTATAAAGCCATTTAGTTAAAAATCTATTGACTTTTTGACTTGTTTTGATCCCCCCTATTACCCATTTTAATAATGACTATCATAACGTTTACACCCTGTATTTCTTCCAATGCTTCCTTCAGCCATGCTTCCTCTTCAGTGATATCTCCTCCCCGAAAACGTGACAAGGAGGGACATTTGAATATTCAGGCAAAAGAAATTGTCCTTAACGTTTATAAGATCGAAATTTTAGATCATCCTGAAATGAAAGTTCATGATATTGAGAGACGTGTGTGGAAAGAAAACAGGCTTATGTCCTGAATCACAGACAAAGTATCACAGGAGGTTAATAGTGATGAAGGTCCTTCCAAAAGGACCACATTCTATAATTTAACCCTTTCAAGCTTTGTGGTGTCACCATGAAACCACCTTTTTAATAATTTATCACGGCGCTGCGGAGTGGTTATCTGCCGATACCACCGTGTAAGAAGTAGCACTATATTGCCAACTAGTATGAAAAAAATTATTTACATAGGAGGCCATTCCTGACAGCTTGTTATTTGACATTTATCGATTTGTTTTCGCAGTGTGCAGGTCAATGGCGTGAGTGGTCATAAATTGAGTGTTTATTTCAAAAAATAAGGACAGAATGGCGGGTAAGTACTATATTTTATTGTATTAGGTATTGTTTTATGTTATTATCATAGGCAAACGCGACTTTATATATTTTATTGGTTGCTTTGAATAAAATTAAGGTGGTGTCAATTGATACCACATAGCAATCAATGCCTAATATTTTCGGTGATTTTGGATTTTTGCTTTGTATGTTTGACAGTGTGTTTGTGTAATTAGTGGGCGTATTTTTCTGTTTTTGAGTAACTTGGTTGTTTTGCTGGGTTAGTTGATCTGCCGTCAGTTCGGTAATTGTGAAGTTTGTGGCGGGATGGAAGTCGATGGAAAAACTATTTAGACTATTGGTTGGTGGGATACTTGTATGTTGTTGGTATGTTTGTTTATTGGTGGCTGTACTTTTGTTTTTGATTCAATTATTTTACTAAGTTAGCTGCTTACGTGGATAGTGACTAATTGATTGGGGATTTTGTTTCAGGGAAAAAGTGGTCTTACAAAGAATTGGAAAATATGACCTATGAAGAGTACAGGAATATATTTTTTGAGGACATACCTTCAGGAAATGAATCGGAGGATGATCAAAGTGGGTCAGATGAAGACTTCGTGGATGTGGATGTGCACAACGCCACTAATACAAATAATAATGTTGGTATTCACCCTGAGAGGGTCTCTGATAGTGATAGTTCTTATAGCGACGATGACCTCATACCCCTTGCAGATTTGCAGAAGAAACTCAGTTTAGATAAATTTGTTTGGAAAAAAGTTGCAACAAACTACACGGCACCCCAAGAATTTACCAAGGATTCTGGACCTTGCAATATATTAGATGACATTGAGCGCCCTGTTGAGGTATTTTTGTGTCTTTTTCCGGACAGTTTGTTTGACCACATCGTCTTCCAAACCAACCTGTATGCAACACAAGCAAGCGCCCGTTCCGGAAAACTTTTCACACCCACGAATACAATGGAAATGAAGAAATTTGTTGCGATAAATATACTCATGGGAATAAAGCGTCTACCTTCTTATCGGGACTTCTGGTCGACGCAGATTGAGCTTCGGGATAAATATATTTCAAGTCTTATACCCAGAACAAGATTTGATTGGTTGTTAGGAAACGTTCATTTGAATGATAGCGTAATGCAGCCCAAACGCGGAGAGCCCCTATACGATAAGTTATACAAAGTCCGTCCTATTCTACAGATTCTATCAGAAAATTATGCGAAATATTATAAACCAACCAAAAACGTTTCCATCGACGAATCAATGATTAGATTCAAAGGACGATCTTCCCTGCGCCAGTATATGCCGAATAAACCGATCAAGCGTGGGTATAAAGTGTTGGTTAGAGCATCGGAGAGTGGATATGTGGATCATTTTCAAATTTATACGGGAAAAAATGGAGAAAATGCAGAAAAAAATTTGGGTGCCAGGGTGGTAACTGACCTTACAAGATCATTAGTGAATGGTCATCATATTGTCTATTTTGATAACTATTTTACCTCTTTAATGCTTTTGCGGCAACTGAAATTAGATAAAATATATGCCTGTGGAACAATTAGGCAAAATCGTGTAGGAATACCAACTGATGTAAAAGAAGACAAAGCATCGAAACGAGGCGAGAGTGACTTTCGAGTAACAGATGATGGGATTACATTTTGCAAATGGAAGGATAAAAGAGTAGTTGCAATGGCAAGTAATTTTCACATGCCGGGAATAATAGAGACAGTTGAGAGAAAGAAAAAGGATGGAGAGAGAGAAACGATTGCATGCCCTGTCATTATAAAGAACTACAATGCAAACATGGGTTATGTGGATAAAGCTGATATTCTAAAATCAACCTATGAACTGGATAGAAAAAGTCGAAAATGGTGGCACAGGATTATGTGGCATTTTGTTGATGTCACCATAGTCAATGCATATATTTTATACACTGAAAGGTGTAAGGAAAAATCCTTAGATTTGAAAAGTTTTCGTTTGAGTGTAGCAACTGGATTGGTTGGTGCAGCTTCTAAAAATCCCCGAAGAGGTAGACCAAGTACTGAAATGCCCCCAAACAAATTCAAAGCAAACATTCCTCTAGAAAAGCGCACAGACCAAGCTGCTCATATGCCAAAACATTCGTCTTCGAGAAGATGTGCATTTTGCAGCACAAAAGCGGAACAACACCGTACGCGATGGTCGTGCAGTACTTGCAATGTCGGTTTGTGTCTCACTGACCAAAAAAATTGCTTTGAAAAATATCATAGCAAATAAGTTGTATGTTTTTACTTCAAACTCCTTTTTATAACATTATCTTAATTAAATATATGTTTCAGTAATATCTGCATTGTATTATTTTAGTGCTTGGTGGTATCATGGTGATACCACCTACTAATTCCATTTTCACCAAATGGAAAAATTTTCTGGGCTATTTTTAATGCTTTTGAGATCTTATCACTTCATTTTTTCAGCTATAAATGAAATAGCTTAAAAATTTGAAAATATGCCTTGAAAGGGTTAAAAGAACTTCATTTTGAGTGTAGCAAAACGGGGCAGAAATGGTATTTGGCAGCCAAGAGATTATTTTATGGAGAAGAAATTATTAAAAATCATTAAAGAAGTACCGCGACCAGGGCAGGAAGATTTATTACTTAGATAAAACCTAGATAAATGAAGGACATACAAAACCTAAAGTATGAGCAGACTTCACAATTAAATCAGCAAGACAAGCCTTAGCTGGACTAACCATTGGCCTAAAGATTCCGTCAGATACGAGTATCTAACCAATTCGTCATTTGTGTTGTAAAAATGATGTCAAGTAGACTGAATCTATGAGCCCACTCTGCTATATCTGGTAGATTTGGAACCAACACCTATTAGATATGCTGCTTGCATTATTATAAGTTTTTTGAATACTATATGAAATAATTATTTATTGGATAAGGAAAACGATTTGTTATCTGTCACATTGGCAGTGAAGATGGCTTTGTGCCCACTAACCTATGGACATTTGAGTCAAAGAAAACGACCGACCACCAAGAAGAAATGGTCGGTAATTCCACAACGTCCACAAGAAATGCAGAAATTCATCAATAGCTCCTATCAAAAGACATTGGTTTCAATGAAAATATTATAAAGCAGAGCTTATCCATCTAGCCATGCAGCACAAATATAAATATAATCTTAATGTTATTGACGAAATGGCTAAAAACCAATATGAGACTGTTTCAAGGCTACCGTTTTATCACTGCGAATTAAATCCCATTGAAATGATATGGGCAAATACGAAAAACTATGGGGGTTCAAATTTTCTGACGTGAAAAGCTTGTTTTATGAAGCTGTCAACAGAGTGACGGAAAACCATTGGAAATATTGCATCCGTCACGTTCAAGAGACAACCGAAACAAAGATGTGCGATCTGAATAATATGATCGATATTCAAAATGAGAATGTAATAATTAATATTAACCATCCGGATCATGATTCAAGTACTTCCAACGAATAAAGTATGTGTACCCCTTTCTATAAAAATAATCATTTATATTGTTAGATTATTCCAAGACCATTGAGGAAAATACGGACCTGCACTATCTCGCTTTTAGGCATGTTGTGTTGTGTCTGGGCGTAAATGAACTACGAATGGGGTACAGGATATAGGGCGGTGACAATATATTCACATCTTCAAATGAAATACAATTAGTGTGTTTATCCGCATTCAAGTTTTGAGTGTCACGGTCGCCACAAGTATTAGTGACCAGCTGATGATACATAGACTAGGTTCAGCATGATGACATGGGTAATCCAAAACCCGATGGCATGTGTGAAAATCTGTATGGGGCTATAAATTGTCGCTTAATCCAATAAAGGCCATATATGGAAGGGTAACTGTGATTCTTTAAACCAATGATATGCATTTTAAATTAGAAATTAGCTTCAGTGCGAGCATAGGATGAAACATTTATCACTTTAATTTCTCCCATCAGTTGGCTCCACCATTCCACTAAGCGGGCTGCGAGATTTTCAATCGCTGTGCTTCGGCCTCCCACGAAAAGTTATAGCCAGCGTTATTTCATTTATGTATTTCGGCGACAAGTGTATTATTAAACCTGATTGGAAGTTAGAGTTTGATATGTTTGGAGTGGACATTATCAGCTAGTAGTGTTGCTTTTTTAACACGCTTTTATTAGCATGGTCTGCATGCATGTCACGGTACCTTTGAGCATAGTTTCCAGAAGTTTTTATTAATTTAAATCTTCGTACACGTATCAAGGACCGATGACAATGCAATAATTTGATAACTGTTTTCCATTATCCTCGGCACAGCACAACAGAGGCAGATACTTTTTCAAGGTAGTGCATTCTCACCTTGTTCTTTACGAATGCTGCCATTAATTCTGGAGCTGGGCTTCGGCCGTCCGCAAGATGCATAGTTGTACAGTCGGTCATGCAGTTATTTATCTAGGCTCGCGACTGATTGCTGCTGGAGAAGCTTATGTAGGACTTAGTCGTGTAAGACGGATTGAAGAAATGATTCGTAAGACATTTCAATACCACGTGCCCACAAAAAACTAATCAAACCAAAAATCCGCAACGAGCGACTTTCTAGCGGGAGTGCTTGATTCAAGTATTCCTCTCTGGAGGGTCGCAAAGTCATTCAGAAACGGAAAGCGAGAACAACTCCCGCACATCCACGGTCCTGAAGGCATAGTCTTTAGAACGGATGATAATCGAAGTTTTCGCTGATGCCATGGAAAGACAGTTCTCTCCCAACTATGCTCTTGATAGTGACCTCGACAAGGAACAGCACATCGTACGATCCGTCAGGAGATATTTTAGGGCCATCGGCATTAGCGGAGGCACTTAATCCTCTTCAGATGACTCTTCTTCAGAAGATTCGTCTGAGACTCCACATACCACATTAGCGGAACCCTCCGAGTTTCGACATTGCACACCAGCGGAGCTCCTAATTTATATTAAAGACCTCAAGGTGCGTCAAGCACCTGGGGAGGATCAAATCACCAACAATGCGTTGGAGCTGCTCTCGCCGAAAGCCCTGACATATTTGGTGACAATAATCAATGCGACGCTCAGAATCCAGTACTTTCCTGCTGGGTGGAAGACTGTTGAGGTAATAAAGATTCCAAAGGAGGTGGGTTCGATATTTCCCCAGGATCACCGTCCCATAAATCTGCTTCAGCTGCTTCTAAAAAGGTGATTTATTGTCACCTTGATAATTTTTCATCAGATCACCATGTGACTCCTGACGTTCAATTCGGTTTTCCGTCCGAGCATAGCACCGAGCTACAGGCAGTCAGGCTGGTGGAACATCTAAACCAGAGGGTTCACCCTCAACATGAGTACTGGCATCGTGCTTTTGGATGTCTCAAAAGCCTTTGACAACGTGTGGCACGCGGGCCTCCTTTATAAACTGATCCAAAAGGGCTTCTAAAATTACTGAAATCCTTTCTTGAAGGCAGGAAGTTGTGGATCAAAATTAACTATGTTTTGTCAACAACATGGCCAGTACGGGCCGGTGTTGCTCAGGGTTCGGACCTCGGACCAATCCTTTATTCGCTTTTTATCCATTATGTTCTTTGCCCCAGCAACTGTGAAGTCTACCTCTATGCTGACGACACTGCACCTGTTGCTGCATAGTCGTGTACTGGTCATCTGGTTCACGATGGGTTTCAGAGTGCGGTGGAAGAAGTACTAGAGTGGTCGGAACGGTGGCTGATTAAAATTAATCATTTGGTATCGCAGGCTATTTATTGTACCAAAAAACGTCGCGGCCTCCCAGCAGAGGTCTCTGTAGATGGCAATCGTGTACCATGGACAAATTCTGCCAAGTACCTCGGTGTCACCCTTAATAAATGCATGACCTGGCAGAAACGTACAGCAGCTTTGGAAACAAAATTCCAAATTGGGTTTCGGCAACTATACTAAGTGAAATATACATCCGAACACCCAGTTTAAATGGTTTTATTTTAATAAAAGTTGGTGAATGTATTTATCTTACTGTAAATAACAAGTGAAAAAATGTTCAGCCTTATCAGTTGGACATTCCGGTTTTGATACTGCTTTTTTCAAATTCACTAACGCTCTAAAAATGAATATTTCAGCCGCAGTAAAGAATCAACGTTGGCGGATTTTGGTTCTTGACATCCTTTACGATCGGTTACAATGCCTAGAGTACGGAGACCTGTACGATTTCGTCAACTTAGTGAGTTTGATAGGGGCCGTATAGTGGGACTTCGGGAAGCTGGACTTTCTTTTCGGGCAATTGCAGTTAGAGTGCAAAGAAGTGTAAACACTGTGGTAAGGTGTTGTCAGGCATGGCTTCGAGAAGGCCGTACGCAAAGAGCAAGGGGCACTGGACGCCGCCGTAGAACAACAGGCCGTGAAGATCGCCGCCTAAGATTATTGGCCTTAAGGGACCGTTTCTCCACTACCAGGTCCATTGCCAATGAATGGTTTGCAGAACACGGAAGACCTATTGGCATGCGAAGTGTTTACCGACGAATGAGAAGTTTTGGCTTGTTTTCATACCGGCCACACTGGGTCCTCCCTTTAATTCGAGAACACCGACGTAATCGCCTTGAGTGCTGCAGACAACGGTCACTCTGGGATCAGGAATGGAACAGTATTGTCTTTAGTGACGAGTCTCGATTTTGTTTAGGCATGCACGATGGTCGTGCCAGGGTTAGAAGGCGACGTGGTGAAAGGCGGAATCCACAGTTTTTTGTTGAAAGACATGTTCATCACACTGTTGGAGTTATGGTTTGGGGTGCTATAGCTTATGGTTCCAGGTCACCTTTAATCTTCATCAGAGGTAACATGAACGCGCAGCATTATATCCACGAAGTTCTAGAACCCCATCTTTTACCCTATCTTGACACCCTGGCAGATCCAACTTTCCAACAAGATAATGCCCGACCACATGTTGCAAGAGTCACAATAGACTTCTTTCAACATAATGATGTCACATTGTTACCATGGCCACCAAGATCTCCCGACTTATCCCCAATTGAGCACGTGTGGGATATGATGGGTAGGAGATTGCTCAATTTGCAACGTCCTCCTCAGACTCTAGAAGCACTTCGAGAGGTGTTGGTGGTTGCCTGGAATGAGATACCACAGGAGGACATTGACCACCTGATCAGAAGCATGCCTAGGCGCGTTGGAGAATGCGTAGCACATCAGGGTGCATCCACACATTATTAAAGGTCAAAGGGCTTTAACCCTTTCGGTTCTACTGGTCGATCCATGTAACCACC